GGGGGGGGGGGGGGGGAGGGGGAGTTTAAAAACAAAACAAAACAACGTCTCCTAAGTCTCAAATAAGAATACGCTGGAAAAAGCCTCAACTTGAAAGCCAGATAGTAGTAGTATTCATGCAGAAAGGGATCCCTTCATGTCTGCATCTTGCTGCTTACCACATGGACAAGGACTGGCTGTCTCTGTGATAACAAATTAGAAGGATCCTTCATTCTCTGCCTAGCCCAATAGATGCAAATGATAACAGGTAATACAGTCAGTGGATTATCCTCTTCAGTTAGAAACTCCTTTAGAAAGTCCCTGGAAGTAGATGTGGTCAGGGCTGGTCCATCTTAAAGAAAAGCTGCGTGATGACTGAAGGAGATAGCATTTCTAGAACTGATTTATAACCAGTTGCTTCCAACTGATTGGCATAGTTATGCATGGGGAGAAAGGATGGAAAAATTTTGCTCAACATGGCAAACAGCTAGGACTGGGAGAATCCTTGGTGAGGTGGCTTCATGGAGCTTTCCTTCTTTTCTACCCTAGTTTCAGGTAGATCTGTCTGTTGAAGTGGTAGGAAAAGGGATCACATTGATAATATTAGTAAGGTACATATGGACGAGCAGTATTTTGATGCACAAAAGCTGTATCATTAGAGGAATAGGAAAAAAAAACATTACTTCAATACTAGATTTTTTAAAAAGGCACAAACACCTACCATTTTCTTGTGCAAATCTGGATGCTTCTAAGAAAGTAACTTCACGATCTGCATCAAGATCCTTCTTGTTTCCACACAGTATTATCACAATATTTTGACTTGCTAACATTCTTGCATCCGTCAGCCAATTAGTAAGTGCATTGTAAGTTTCCCGGCTGTGTAATAACAACAACTCTGTTATATTATGGATATTTTTAGTGTTGCCTAGTGGAGAGAGCACTGGACTGGAATTCAGGAGCCTGGAGTTCTATTCTTGGCTCTGCCACTGGTCTGCTGCACAACCCTAGGCAAGTGATTTTTCCTTTGACTCAATTACATGCATCAATAATTTACTTTCTTTGCACAGGAAAAGACTTACAGGTAAAAACTGTGAAGAGACAATTGAATACTTCATTTCTTTGAATGGTTTCTGCATATTCCACTTAGAAGATACTCTGACAGCA